ATCCTTTCCAAAATCCTTTCCCTGTGTCCTGGGGTTTCTGCTCCTTCTCTGTCCCATTCCCAGAATTCCCAGCCCTTGTCCCTCAGGGTCGTTTCCAGAGGTGTCTCCAAAGCTGATCCTTTCTGGCCACGCTGACTCCAACTTTCCTTCACCTGCTGCTTTTCCCTCCATCCCTTTTCCATATCCCTCCAAGAGGAGTTCACAAGGAACCTCCGACCCCTCTCCAAAACCAAGGAATTGCAGATTTTCCCTCTTTTTACCGAAAATAATCCCTTGGTCCCCGTAGCTGGAGATGGCTGGGACAGCCCAAGAGCTCCAGGGGGTCATTCCTGACCGTGTTCCCGTTTAATTTTGGGATTGAGCCGAACAAACTTTCCCCAAATGAAAAGCAACCCCGAAATCTTGCTGAGGAGCAAGGCAGGAAGGGAAAAACCTCTGGATTCGTGCATCCAGAGGGTTGGGAATGGGCACAGGAGCAGCACTTCCAGGGCTGCAACAACCACCAGGGAGATGTGAATTCCCTTCAAGGGTTTGGGAATGTGGCTGGATAATGTGAGGAATTAGAGGTGACAAGATGAGAAGGGTGAAAATCCCACCCTGGAATGGGAATCCCGGGATTAAATCCTGTTGGTGGCCTCCTGGTTTGAGCAGAGGAGTTTTGGGGACCCTCAGGACAGGGGGAATTTTATCCACAGGCACTTTGGAGCAGTGCTGCTCCATGGGGAATCTCCCACTGTCTTGAGGAAATTCTCACCAGTCCAGCTCCAACAGGGAAGTTTTCCCCATGGAATCATCAGGAGGAGAGGGAAGATGGGACACCAGCATGGAAAAAAATAAAAGAGAAAAATCCCTCCAGAACCAGTGTGAGATCCCCATTCCTGTGGAGCATCCATCCCTCCCTGCTCCCCATCCATGGATATGTCCAGGAAATTCCCACTGGTCCAGCTCCAAACAGGGGGATCCAGGGAAGTTTTCCCCATGGAATCATCAGGAGGAAAGGGAAGATGGGACACCAGCATGTGGAAAAAAATGGGAAAAACCCCTCCTGGAAAACCAGGAGATCCCAGTGTGAGATCCCCATCCCTATGGAGCATCCATCCCTTCCCTCTCCCCATCCATGGATGTGTCCAGCCCCAGAGTGGTGCCCACAGGAAACATTCCCAGATGATCTTTCCCAAATCCTTCCCACATCTGATCAAGGAGGCTGCTCCAAACCCTTCTCCATGATCCCACAGCCCCTGGCAGGTCCCAGAGTGGAGCTCAGGGATGGGACATGTGGGAAAGGGTCGCAATTCCAGGGATTTGCAGACTAACGTGGAAATCAGCCCGTGGAGAGGGAAAAGAGGAGAAAAAAAACCTGGGAAATCCCTTTTTCCTACCTAAATCCAAACCCACTCAGGGTGACCCTCTGCCCACAGAACCCAAACCCACAGCTCATCCCAGATTTCTCTGTTTTCCAAGGGAATAAATTAACAAAAGGAAAGCAGGATGATCCCTTCAATTTGGCTTCGACAAAACAAAAAACAAGAAAAATCAACCCCAGTCCGGGTGTGAACTTCTCCCAGGCTCCAAAAATTCCCATCACTTCCTAAACCCCTGAAAATAGGAGTTTATCCAGGAGGCTCCTGCCACCACCACCACCACCACCACCACCACCACCTCTTTTCCCGGGATTGTTCCCACCGGGAGCGTTTTTCCGTCGGGGGGAGGCTCCGCGGAGAACGTTCCAGGCGAATAAAAAAATACAAATCTTCTCTCCCAACGAGATTCCCGAAGTCCTGGCTGGGGGAAGGGGATCCCGAGCCCTTCAGGAGTGGTGGCTGCTGATGAGGCCACGCAGCTGCTTGGCCACGGTGTCGATCAACTTCTGCTTGTCCCGCTCGTTTTTCCGGAATTGGGCGAAAACGTTGTTTTTCCTGCTGGTGTCCCGCATCCTGCACGGAGCACAGACAGGTTATGGAACAGGGATTGGGAATGTCCAGTGCTCTGAGAGGAGGACATGGAATTTCCAGCCTCTACACCAATTTTTGGGGCATTTTTCAGGCACTTTTCAGACTTTAAACCCCTCCAATCTCAATCAACGCCATTTTGGGGTCTCCCCAGTTCCTGCTTTTTTTTTCTGGAATTGGGTGAAAATGTTGTTTTTGGAGCACAAACAGGTTATGGAACAGGGATTGGGAATGTCCAGTGCTCAGAGAGGAGGACATGGAATTTCCAGCCTCTACACCAA